TATATGCATATATTTATATATATGTATATATATGTATATGTATATATATGTATGTATATATATGCATATATTTATATATATGTATATATATGTATGTGTATGTATATATATATGTATATGTATAAATATGCATATATTTATATATATATATATATGCATATATATTAGTATATATGCATATATTTATATATATATGTATATATGTATATATTTTTATATATGTATATATGCATATATTTATGTATATATATGCATATATATGTATATACATGCATATATGTATGTATATGTATATATATGCATATATATGTATGTATACGTCCATTGGAGGGACAGTGGGTATATAGGTAGAAGGATGTTATAAATACAGCTTCCAGGAAAAAGACAGAGGATATATATGGATGCAGATAGAGAGGATATGGGGTCAAAGTCAATGTTTCTTTATTTGTCATTCCACCACATGTGGTACATGTGGTATACACAAATGGACTGCAAATGGACTGCACCTATATAGTGCCTTCCTATCTAATCAATATACTCAAAGCACTTTACACTACAATCTGTATCCTCATTTATCCTTTCATACAGCACTCTACTAGATCTCTACAAAGCTAATTGAACAAATTATTCTAAAGAGACTAATCAAACTTTATCATATTCATACACCGATGGGACACACATCGGTGGCAACGAGGGATTCAGTGTTTATCCCAGGAACACTTCGGCATGTGACTGCTGGTGGATTCGAACCCCCAACTCTTGCATTGGAGGAAGACTGCTCTAACCACTCAGCCACAGCCGCCCCATATATATGTATATATGTATGCATATGTTTATGCACGTATATGCATACATTCATACATTCATGTATGTTAACCCAGCTACCACCCTAACCTTTTGAGGAAATTTTGCTTTCTAGTTTTTATATTGCCAATGGCCCCACCCTGGCAAAGCCATTGTAGCGCGCCATGGATAAAACTGCTCCCTCTGCTCACCAGGATCCATCTCTTTGTGCTGCCTAACCATGAGCTAAACTTTTTTTTAAACGGCCTCTGTTCTTCTACAGTGTAACTTCTACCCATTTGAATGTCTTGCATCCAAAACATTAAGGTTTACTTGCATTTCCTCTTCAATCCCATTCCAGAATAAACACTTCTCCAAACTACACACATTCACTATTCAAATTCTTCTGCGATGGGAGACATCGTCATACTGCTTGTTCATTCATTCAACCTTTATTTAGACAGATAAATCCCATTGAGCCTTGAGGACTCATTTACAAGAGAGACCTGATTTCAACAAAGAATGATGACAACAATGGACAACAGCAACAACAGTAAACAGTTATAAAAAGTCATACTCCAGGTTTTTTTTTTTTAAACAAATAGAATGGCTAAAAGAAAAAGGTAACAAAAAAACAGCTAGATTCTAAGGCAAATGTAGAAAACTAAAAACAGGAACATGTCTGCATTGGTCCCTGCCAGGAGTCCAACAGATTCTTAAAGCTATCTAAAAAAGTTAAATCTGGTCCTCTGGACATTCAAAAAAAAAAAAAAAAAGCAAAACAACAAAAAATGTAGAAACGTTTCGTCTCTCATCCAAGAGACTTCCTCAGTCTGAGGTGCTGTATTCAGCTCAGTCTCTTAAATAGCACCTTCTCAGAGTGGATCAACCAGTTTTGCTGCTGACAACCAGAACCAGCTGATCACATGCTCAAGAAGGACCATCAGCCTAACAATGGATCATTAGCACACTGATGGCTGTTTACTGTTCACAGAGGGCTGAGTGATACTAGCAATCACAGCATTGTAAGAGGGGGACAGTTGAACCTGGAGGCTCCACCCCTGTTTAATGATGGACGGTTTCTTTTCACAAAGATGGCCTCCTTTACTCCTCTCTCAAACCATCGTTCCTCTCTGTCCAGGATGTGAACATCTTCATCCCTGAAAGAGTGACCGCTGGCCTGGAGATGAGTGTAGACCGCAGAGTCCTGGCCTGATGATGTTGATCTTCTGTGCTGGGCCATCCTTTTGGCCAGTGGCTGTTTAGTTTCCCCGATGTAAGACTGATCACAGCCCTCCTGACACTGAACAACATACACAACATTACTCTGTTTGTGCCGGGGGACTGGATCTTTGGGATGAATCAGTCTTTGCCGTAATGTATTTTGGGATTTAAAAGCCACTGGGACCACTCTGAGAAGGTGCTATTTAAGAGACTGAACTGAAAACAGCACCTCAGACTGAAGAAGTCTCTCGGACGAGAGACGAAACGTTTCTACATTTTTTGTTGTTTTGCTTTGTTTTGGTTTTTTTTGAATGTCCAGAGGACCAGATTTAACTTTTTTAGATTTTTCTACCTGGATTATTGAGCATGCATCAGGATATTTTAAAGCTACTTAGAGAGGTCAAGGTCGAAAGCTTCAATTGTTTTTATAAGGTATTGCAAGAAACAGGAGCGGAGTAGGAGAAGGCCCTCTTGCCTAGTTCAGTCCTCATTGAGGGAGCACTGCAGGTAATAATGTCCTGAGAGCGCTCGCAGTAGCTGCACTCATGCAGACACATGTAGGAGATGTATGAAGGCAGCAGACCAAGAAGTGATTTAAAGATGAAAATGTACCAGTGAAAGAGACTGTGTGACGTTAATGATGTCCAGTTAACCAGTAAATACAGGGTGCAGTGATGGGTACGATAATCACAGCCAGTTATGAATCTTAGTGCACCATGATAGACAGCATCCAACATCTGCAGCATCCAACATCTGCAGGGTTCTTGTAGGAGCGTTCATAGTTTATCTTTCAGTTTCTTTACCAAGTTTTCCACATGAAGCTTAAAAGAGAGATGTAAGCCGACCGATACCCAAATATTTATAGGAATCAACAAACTCAATCGGGACACCATTTGAGGATAAAATCGGAGGAAGAACTGCTGAAATGAAAAACGACTCCAGCAAGATGTTCACCAGACCTGGTGATGATGACCAAATTGAGTCTCATCTGACCACAGCATGTCCTTCCACTGGACTGGAGTGTTTCCTATGTGCGTTTTGGTAAATAATTTTGAAAAGAAAATCTTTGATTGGTCTATGCTTTGTGAGTTTTGGTAAATTATCATTTCTTCTTAGGTTTGCTGTGGTGGCATCATTTTTTTCCATAAAAAAAGATTTAATGCTCCTTCTTGTGATGTTTGGGATTTAGAATATTATTTTATAATCCAAGCCTTATCTGATCTTCTCCACAACTTTGTCTCTGACCAGTGTGGAGAGTTACTTGGTTTTCATTATGTATCCTACTTAGTGGTAGACCTTACTAATTAGGTTTGGATTTTATATTCAGTTTGTGTGTGTGTGTGTGTTTATTCAGTGTTTACAGTATATTTAAACAGAAAAGCCATTTATAATATAGGTTTTAAGGTAAATAGAAGAATGCAGAGGGGTTGAATACTTTTGGAGGCCCACTGTTGAGAAGCACTCTGTTGTAGTAATGAACAAAATATGATTCAACAGTAATAAAACCCTTTTTTAGGATGAGCTGAAGAAGCTGTACGCTCAGCTGGAGGTCTACAAACGGAAGAAGATGCTCGCTAACAATCCCCACCTTCAAAAGAAGCGTAACTCAAAGAAAGGCCTAGGCCGCACCTTGATGAAACGGATCACAGAGATCCCGGAGACCATGCACTTACACCGCCAGTGCAGCCGAGATGATAGCAGCGAGCACGGCAGCAAAAGCAGCACAATGAGAAGGAACCCATTTGAGCCTAGCCATCCAGGTGAGTCCACAAATCCCCTTGTAAGATCTGATCCAAGGGATTGATTTTTAAAAAACTGATCTATAACTGAACACATTTTTACTCAGGAAAAGCTCGAGACGACTCCCTGAATGACAAAGTCACCAGCTTGACACAGTCCCTCAGCTATGATCATATTTGTGAACAGGACACAGACACCGGAAGCCAAACCAGCTCAGTTCCAGGAGAAAAGATGGCTCCTGTAGGCATCAGTGGTGAGGGGTCTCTTCTAGGTTCTCTCATTGGCCACGAACACACCAAGAAGCAGCTAGAACCAGCTGGAACTCCACTGAGGCTGGAACCAGCTGCGTCCACAGAGTCAGTCCCACTCTTCTGGAAATCAGCTAGCGCTCACAACCTGACCCATGAGAAGAAACCCATACACCTGCGCACCTCCATTATGCAGAAGTCCTTGAGCGTCATTGCCAGTGCCAAAGAGAAGATGCCAGGGCTTTCCAACAAGACTCAGAGCGTGGAGGACTCCAGTAAGAATAGTCACAGGGACCAGGAGGAGAAGATGCTGTCAGAGATGGATGAGACACCGGAACATTTTCCAAAAATGATCATCAGCCAATCAGTGGAGTACTCCAAGACCGCCATGAAGATGGCCATAATGAAACAACAGGTACGCAGAATTACCATTAGTAAGAATACAGAATATGGCACATTATACACCCATTCACAAATAAATATACAGTAGTCCCTCGATACTTTGTGGTTCGTTTATTGCAGACTCACTGTATCACGATTTTTCAAAATAAGATTGGACATGACACACAATTGGCTAATTGATGGATTAACCGCACGATTGGCATGGAATGTTTATTTAAAATAAATCCTAGAGATGCAGAAAAAGCTTCCTCTTGCACCTTTGTGCAGCCCTTACTGCAGGATAAACTTCTTGCTGCAGCTGAACAGCTGATCAGCTTGCAGAGTGGAGAAGTGGGCGTGGCCAAAGCGCTTGCAAGTGGCAAAGAGCAGAGGAGGCAAGTAGCTAAAATCATGACATTCTGTGTTCTTTTAATTCAATTCAGTTTATTAATATAGCACCAAATCACAACAAAGTTGTCTCAGGGCACTTTACAGAAACATTCACATACATAAAAGTCAATTAGTAAAACTCTCTATCTAAGGAATCCAGCAGACAAGTTGAATCTTGACTTCGTTGCAGTCTCCCATCCTGAGCAAGCACAGTGGCAACAGTGGAAAGAAAAACTCCCTTTTTAAAAAGGAAGAAACCTCCAGCAGAACCAGGCTCAGAACAAGCGGCCATCTGCTTTGACTGGCTGGTTTGAGAGGACAGGAAGGAGAGACAGACAAACACAGAATGGTAGGTCCAGATATAGGTCCAGGTGTATCTGAAAGACAAAAAAAAAAAAAACACATCTTAAGGGTAGAAAACATAATTACAAATACAAAACAGGTTGAGCAGAGTAAGTAAAGACAGTAGTAGAATGAAAATTGTGGTCAGTTTGTCCTCCAGCAGTCTAAGCCTTTAGCAGCATAACTAAGGGACAGCTCAGGAAACCCAAGCTGACCCTAACTATAGGATTTAGCAAAAAGGAAAGTCTTGAGCCTAGTTTTAAAACTGGATAATATGTCAGCCTCATGGACAAAAATTGGAAGTTGGTTCCACAAGAGAGGAGCCTGATAACTGAAGGTTCTGCCTCCCATTCTGTTTTTGTAAATTCTAGGTACCACAAGTAAACCTGCAGCCTGAGAGCGAAGTGCTCTGTTAGGAAAATATGGAACAATAAGATCTGTAACACAAACCGGATTCCAAAAAAGTTGGGACACTAAACAAATTGTGAATAAAAACTGAATGCAATGATGTGGAGATGGCAAATGTCAATATTTTATTCATAATATCACATAGATGACAGATCAAAAGTTTAATCTGAGTAAATGTAACATTTTAAAGGAAAAATATGTCGATTCAAAATTTCACAGTGTCAACAAATCCCAAAAAAGTTGGGATAAGTAGCAATAAGTGGCTGTAAAAAGGAAATTCAGCTTATAACGAACAGCTGGAAGACCAATTAACACTAATTAGGTCAATTGACAACATGATTGGGTATAAAAAGAGCTTCTCAGAGTGTCAGTGTCTCTCAGAAGCCAAGATGGTAAGAGGATCACCAATTCCACCATTGTTGCGCAGAAAGATAGTGCAACAATACCAGAATGGTGTTACCCAGCGTAAAATAGCAAAGACTTTTAAGTTATCATCATCAACCGTGCATAACATCATCACAAGATTCAGAGAATCTGGAACAATCGCTGTGCGTAAGGGTCAAGTCCGTAAAACTCTACTGGATGATCGTGATCTCCGGGCCCTTAAACGTCACTGCACATCAAACAGGAATGCCACTGTCAAGGAAATAACAGAATGGGCTCAGGAATACTTCCAGAAAGCATAGTCAGTGAACACAATCCACCGTGCCATCCGCCGTGGCCAGCTGAAACTCTACAGTGCAAAGTGAAAGCCATTTCTAAGCAGGCTCCACAAGCTCAGACGTTTGCACTGGGCCAGGGGTCATTTAAAATGGAGTGTGGCAAAATGGAAGACTGTTCTGTGGTCAGATGAGTCACGATTTGAAGTTCTTTATGGAACACTGGGACGCCATGTCATCCGGACCAGAGAGGACAAGGATAGCCCAAGTTGTTATCCATGCTCCATTCAGAAGCCTGCATCACTGATGGTATGGGGTTGCATGAGCGCTTGTAGCATGGGCATCTTGCATGTCTGAAAAGGCACCATTAATGCAGAGAACTATGTTCAGGTTCTAGAACAACATATGCTCCCATCTAGACGTCATCTCTTTCAGGGAAGACCCTGCATTTTTCAACACGATAATGCCAGACCACATTCTGCAGCAATCACAACATCATGGCTACGTAGGAGAAGGATCCAGGTACTGAAATGGCCAGCATGCAGTCCAGACCTTTCACATTTGGCGCATCATAAAGAGGAAGGTGCGACAAAGAAGGCCCAAGACGATTGAACAGTTAGAGGACTGTATTAGACATGAATGGGAGAGCATTCCTATTTCTAAACTTGAGAAACTGGTCTCCTCTGTCCCCAGACGTCTCTTGAGTGTTGCAAGAAGAAGGGGGATGCCACACAGTGGTAAAAATGGACTTGTCCCAACTTTTTTGGGATTTGTTGATGCCATGAAATTTGGAAACAACAGATTTTTCTCTTAAAATGATACATTCTCTCAGTTTAAACTTTTGATCTGTGATTTGTGTTCTATTCTGAATACAATATTCGATGTTGGCACCTCCACATCATTGCATTCAGTTTTTATTCACAATTTTTTTAGTGTCCCAACTTTTTTGGAATCCGGTTTGTATAAGATGGAGCCAGGTTGTTGAGAGCTTTTGTAGGCTAGAAGTAAGAATTTGAATTCTATTCTGGATTTGACAGGGAGCCAATGGAGAGAAACTAAAACGGGAGAGATATGATCTCTCCCACTAACTCCAGTTAAGACTCTGGCAGCAGCATTATGGATCAACTGAAAACGTTTTTAAAAAGTATTTGGACACCCAGATAATAAACCATTGCAATAGTCCAGTCTAGACGTGGTAAATGCATGGACCAGTTTTTCTGCATAATTTTTAGATAAGATGTTTCCAATTTTAGTGATATTATGCAGGTGGAAGGAGGAAGTTCTAGTAATGTTTTTAATTTGGGGGATAAAAAGAAAAAGACATGTCCTGATCAAAAATAACACCAAGATTTTTAACATTAGAGCTGGAGGACAGAATAATGCCATCTAAGGAGGGAGAAAGACTTAAAATTGCATTCCTAAAGTGCTCAGGTCCAAAAACCAAAACCTCAGTCTTGTCTGTGTTCAACAGGAGAAAATTAAGGGTCATCCAGGTTTTTATGTCTTTAAGACATGCTTGTAGTCCAAGTAGCTGATTGGAATCTTTGGGTTTAATGGACAAATATAAGTGTGGTGTCATCAGCATAACAATGAAAATTCATCCCATGCTGTTTAATAATTTTACTTAATGGAAGCATATTGTCATGGTTTTAGGCAATTGTTTGAACCACATGCAGTAAAGCTCTCAGAGAAACCAATAAATGTTTAAGAATTTATTTCAATCAAATGAATGGTAATAGGAGATGTCGTTCAGGGAAGGTATGGACCTGGGAGCCAACGAGGTCCAAACTGCTAACCGGGTCTCTGAAGACAAACAGAGGAGAGGTGAGTAGAGGGTTGAGTTCTTGAATGATTGAAAAAAAGAAGACTGCTTACTTGAGGTTGCGGGGTTATCAGCCAGGGAGAGGTGAGTGGGATCCGAGATGGTTGGAGATTGGTATTTAATGTTTACCAGTAGAAATACAAAGAGAAGACTGATGATAGATGGTTGTGATTAATGCCAAGTGGCTCGGTGGAGGACAGCACAGGCTTGATCAGAACACAGGTGGAATGAGGAGTCCAGCAAACAGCCAAGGTTTAAAGATGATCCAGGAATGGCAGAAGTTTGCAGATGACTGGGTAGGAATGGAATCCAAAATGGAGGCAGGAATAACCTGGGGTTCAGGGTAAGAGCACCAAATTAACAAAAGTAAGGAGATCGATTAAACAACAAAATAGAGAGAGCTCAAAGGGCTATGAATTAAAGTTTAACACTCTGGCACTGAAGGACTTCTTCTTCGAGGTTTATTGGTGGTTGGCAAACAATGAAATTGGTGTATTACCGCCACCGACTGGTAAGGAGTGTGGACCAAAATGTCACTCAAGGATTAAATTCTCTTAAATAACTCTGTTAATTTAAGATAACTAAAGATTATCTGATAAATTTTACTATTCGAGTTATTTCTGAATAAATCAATTAAATCTAGTTTTACTTTAATTTTATTTAAAGTTTGAATCAACAGTCGTCTTTCTTCCTCATACTTTTGACAGTGTAACATTACATGTTCTACTGTCTCATCTGCTCCACAGTACTCAAATTTACCACTGCAGTGTAGCCCTAAAATAAAAAAAGTGCTGTTTAACCCAGTATGCCAAAATCTGAGACGAGAATAATCTCTTCTCTCTTCGTCCTCCCTGTACTTCTCATTTCTCCAGTTTTCTTTTGGATTTTATAGAACCCGCATCCTTTCTTTTCTTCCTCCCATATCTTTTGCCATTTATCCTTCATTTTCTGTTTTATTAAAAGTTTTATTTCTGTTTTACTAAAATGAACTACTAACTCCACTGATGTATTTCTAGTGGCTTACTTTGCAGCTTTATCTGCCATTTCATTTCCTGTAACACCATAATGAGCTGGTATCCATAAAAAATGTATCATTAGACCCATCATATTTATTCTGTATAGTGTCTGTTGAATTTCTATTAAAAAAATCTGGCCTGCTTTCTGAATGGTTACACTGGTAACTGACTAATGATGAACTGGAGTCTGAACAAATCACTGATCTCAATGGTCTTGTTTCTTCAACCCACTGAATGGTTAATAATATTGCGAGCATTTCTCCTGTGTTCACTGAAAGTTCATCTTTACTTCTTTATCTAACTTTGATGTTGAACTCTGGAACAATGAAAGCTACAACTACTTTATTTACTAAGTTCTTGGAAACATCAGTGTAAATTTGAACATAGCTGTAATATG